CACTAGGTTGCTTTGGCTCTTGCAAGTTGGCGCCTCAGTGTATGTACATGTGTGGCTATTTGTAAGGTTCCCTTTTTGGGGATGGTTTAGAAGTAAACCAAAAGGACACCACCTGTGCGGGTCCAATTCTCTTTGAGACAAACCCATTATTACGTCTTCTTGCAAAGTGGGGGGTGTTTGGACTTCACTGCTGTTGGCATGTATTGTTTATTTATTCATTCAATGTTTACTTGTGTATTTGTTTATTTACTTATTACTTTCTTTTGTAATTCATGTATTTATTTATTTAGTTGTTTATTTATTGTGTTTAATCATTTTTGATTTTTGTCTAATTTACTTATTTTTTACAATTTACATAGTTGTTTATTTATTTATGTATTTTGTATTTATTTATTTGTGTACTTTATTTATTTATTTATTTATTTATTTGTTTATTTACTTTTAATAAAACTTATTTCTTTCTTTTTTATTTGTTTTTTTAATTATATTTTTGCTATAAAGTTATTTGCAACACTTGGTTCTGTTCATGTTCAGAGGGTGCAAACAAAAGCACATGGTTTGTCACCAGGGGTTGGAAAGTGGACATGGTTTTCAGTACGGACAAAGGGCCCGAAACACCTCCCGCTTCCCCTCGCCCCAACGCTTGCGCGCCGATTGATTCGAGCCACAAACCCAAAAGGGGGACACCATTTTGTCAGGGCTAGGGTTGTTCTACCAGTTTACGCACAAATGCACCCAAGAACGGGGGCCAGAAGGAGTTTCCTCTGCAAATGGTTTGGTTTTTTGATCTGCAGGGCCATAACCGACCATGGCTGACAGCTTTGAGGGTCAAAATCGACAGGGGGACTTGGCCACGTGGCTTGGCTGCACGCGGATGGTGGGTGTGTCGCTGATGAAAATTATCAACAGGTCCGGCGCTTCCCCGATTTTCGATGCAAGGCATAAGTCAGGAGGAATATCATCAGACATGGCACTGCACCAAGAAAACATGGGGTATACAACCACTACAACAACTATTCTGTGCACGGTATACATGTTGATTTCCCCTGGGGGTAGCGTTTGGTGGGGCGTGGAACCCCTCTTAGAAGGGAGAGGGGTTTTGGAGGTACTGTGGATGGTTGCAAAATCCACCCAACGGAATGATTCTATTCCTCAACATAAATTCCAACTAATAGTGGTTTTCAACCATGGTTTCAAAGTGGCGCAGAATTTCGTCCATACACAGTATGACTGCAATAATGATGTGTTGTTGTTTGCCTAGTGGTTTCTCGAACCAATCTGAAACGAGCCACAATCAAAACCCGGGCAGATGAAGGTTAGTACGGGCAGTCCCAGCCGGAAATAGCTGCGAGCGATCGGTTTTGATTGTGACTCAATTGTCAGCCACTTTTCTGGATACCTTTTGAGGGGAAACACACACATGGGGTTGTTGTTCTGCATACAAGGGAACCACACACACACACGGGAAACACACACATGTGTAAACTTTTCTGCATACAAACACCTGGGTTGGGGTTGTTGTTCAAAGCAAATGAAAGGGGTTGGCTCATGTGGTTTTCCCGTGCTTCCGGTTGCTTCAGGTAGCTTGCTAGTGCCTATGTTTCGTTCGCAAGGGAATGGCTTTGCTGACCATGTTTTTGTTTTTTGTTCCCGACGCGTGGATGTGTCTCGAAACAGCCAATGGTAAACTAATTTTTGGGGATGTGCGCAAATGGAACCCTGCAATGGAAACAAAGATCAAATTACGCGGTGCGCTGGTGGTTGAATGTTGATGCATACCCATATGCATGAACATAGAACTGTTGGTGTCCAATACAAACTCATCACGTTGTTTATCTTTGATTCATTTCCATGTTCAATTGTTCCTCGATTTTGAGACAAACCCAGTTACAGCGGGTGGAAGCAAATGGCGCAAACTTCCCCGTTTTGATTTTGGTTTTGTTATTTGCTGACGGACAGAAAGACAATCGCGCCATCAGCTTCTCCTGGGCGCAACCTGTTCTATCATCCTTGACCGGACAAAAGAGGCATCGTGGCATCTGCGTTCTCCCGGGTGCGACCTGTTAATTGCACAATATTAATACATATATATGTTCCATGTTAGTGCTTGGCAGGCCTTGGGTGACATGGCATCATTCAGGGAACATGTAAGCTTGAGTCAAAATGTGCTCGCCGTATGGGGGCCATTTTGGCTCAAGCTGAGCCAAAACAGCTTTCTTTCCCACCCACCCAACCCTGGGGCGAGTCGCCTAAAAGGCCTTCTCGTCATTGGGGTGTGGCAGGCCACGGTCCATGCATCAGTTGGAATGCTGATGAATAGGGACGCGGGGCGGCTGCCACTTCCAGCTGCACCCCATCTCCTTTCTAGTGTCAGGCCCTCTTGCGATTCAGGTGCTGTGCCCGTTTGGGGAGAGGCCTGGGCTAAAAGCTGGGGGTCCAGCTGGATACTGCTGCACCTCTGACTGCCCTCAGCTATGCTACTGAGGTGCAGCAGTATCCAGCTGGACCCCCAGCTTTTAGCCCAGGCCTCTCCCCAAACGGGCACAGCACCTGAATCGCAAGAGGGCCTGACACTAGAAAGGAGATGGGGTGCAGCTGGAAGTGGCAGCCGCCCCGCGTCCCTATTCATCAGCATTCCAACTGATGCATGGACCGTGGCCTGCCACACCCCAATGACGAGAAGGCCTTTTAGGCGACTCGCCCCAGGGTTGGGGTGGGAAAGAAAGCTGTTTTGGCTCAGCTTGAGCCAAAATGGCCCCCATACGGCGAGCGCATTTTGACTCAAGCTTACATGTTCCCTGAATGATGCCATGTCACCCAAGGCCTGCCAAGCACTAACATGGAACACATTCAGAGGAAACATAAAGCGCGAGACCGACACACACTTTTCCCCCAGGCAAAAGCATGTCAGCTGTGTATGAATGTTAATGCATTGGTCACTGACTGCCCTCAGCTATGCTACTGAGGTGCAGCAGTATCCAGCTGGACCCCCAGCTTTTAGCCCAACGCACTTTCACACACGCAAGACGACCGGTCTTTTCCGCGCTCCACCCAATGCACTTCACATGAAACTAAACACTTTGATACATGCTCGCATGGGGAGTAAACATAGTTCCTGTCTGAAGAAGCTCTGCTGTACGTAAAACTGATTGAGTTGGGACCATGGGTCATCCGCTCCAAGTCTTGAAATGGCGTCACTCCAGTTGCTTTTGGATTGAATCCACTCAAAATAAATGGACGTCTCTAACCCGAACATCGCAGCCTGTGTAAGCATGGCTAATTGATCAAGGTCAGGGGTATCTGAACGGCCACGCACCATGGCCATCAGAGCAGCGACATTGTCCAAGAACCAGAGTCCTGTTCTTCCTCGGAAATGCTCGGGGTACACGGAAAGGGCTGCAAGTACCATAAGCAGTTCCAGTTGTGCTATGTGCCACCCATCTGCCCGCCAGGAGTCGTACAACGTCTGGGGCACATGAACCACATGCCCCAGCCTAGCTTCACTAGCAAGCCCTAGGAAGCCTGCCGTTCCCTGCCTGGGGGTTTCCAACGCAGCGTCTGAGGCTACTACGAACCTACGTGGGTTGGCTGGGGCTAGTGACCAAAGGCGTCTGGGACGTTCTGCCAAAACTGACTCAAGCAATTGGAAAGCGCTTTCCAGTGCCGGTGTCAACGCAGACGTCCGCTCATACTGTCTATCCTTGAGAGCCCCCAACCCTGCTTTCCCAACTTTCCCAAAAATCCCTTCCTGGAAAAAGTTGGTGCAGCCAAACAACTTACTAGCAGCGCCTGGTTTCAGCATCCCTGCTGACCTGGCTTCCTGGATGAAGTGGATCACCTTTTTCTCCAACCTGTCTCGGGGCCAGAAGGTTACGGTCTGCTTTGTGGTGAGGTGCTCCAGGTTATGCATCAGACCCAGGAAGTCGCCTTCACTGGAAAAAGGCTGAGATTTCTCGTCGGCCCAAGGAGTACCCAGCTCGGCCATGAATCCCTTCACGGCCACTTGAGCGGAGCCGTTGGAGCTCGCCCAGTCCTGCATGGTGCAGTCATCGAAGTACATGGAGAAGAGCACACCTAGGAAGCGACGAACCAGGGCCTCGCACAGCCTGCTGTATCGGTTGAAGGAAGTGACTGCAATTGGCAACCCAAAGAGCATACCACTGTACAGCTGGAATGCTGGACTGTTCCACTCCGGGTGCCAAAAGACCACCACACATGCTTCCGCATGCTGGGGAATCATTGGCACCAGGCGATATGCGTCTGGCCAATCTTCCCCTGCACTGTGTAATTGGTCAGGAATGCCTGCGATGGTGCCTCCTCGGAGGACCGCAGCTTGTTGTAGCGCCCAAACGTGCTGTGCCGGCCGGAGAGCCGAGCAAAACTCTAGGTGGTTGGCATCAGCTGATAGTTCGCTCTGGCCACCCTTGTCAGCATCATCAATTGGCCGCACTTTGCCAGTGCTTTGAGTGATAGGAAAACGAGGGATCAGCCTCACTGGCCGACGCTGCACTTGCCTCTGCAGTTGTTCCCATGTGAGGGGTTCTGTTGCAAACCCTTTGCTGGCATCCTTCAACCCCGACTCCAACATGATGCCATCCAACGCTCCTGGCCTGAGCCGGGATAGAAGAGCGGCGTTGGTGGTGTCCACGTCCGCAAAAAGGGATTGCAGGTGGATAGGGTCGATGTCTCTGGGCGCAAAGGCCCCGCACGGGGGAGCGTAAGCAACCGCCGGGAATCCTGTCACAAGGTCGACTGCGAACATGTGGTCCGGCCATGAAATGATCAGGAGGAGCAGGGCTACCAGTGCAATATGCCTAGTTTTGGTGACTCTAGCAACCCCTGGAGGCTGGAATTGCCGCAGCTCCTTCAACACTCCTAGGTTCCGCATGCGGGCTGCTTCCAGACGGCCTCGATGCTCCCAGGTGAAGTCTGCTGCAAACAGGAGGTCGTGGTCAAGGCAAATGGGTTGCTCCGTGGGGAGTGTCTGGCCTGCTGCTGTGATGGCTGCTTGGAAATGCAAGTCCGGATCCAGACCGTAGGAGACCACTGGCGGCAGGGCCGCACGATGCGCCATGGCTCCCTGCTCTACCCAACTCCCGCTCGGCTCGCAAAGAGGCCTTGCCGATCCAGAAACGCGGGGCCTAGCTCCCCGTCCACTTGCAGCCCATTGCCTAGTCTCCAATCCTTGTAGATAGTGAAGGGTGGCTGATTGAGCAAGTCCTCCACTGGATTTGTGAAACACCTGCATCAGTTGTCCCGCATGCTTTTCCACCAGCACCCCCCCTGCCGAAACCGGAGAAAGGCAAGCCCGCATTGCCAGCAGGGGCACAGGAGCAGATTGCGGGACGCCCCGTGAAGTTCACATGCAGAGGACTTCCAACATGGTAGGTGCCAGGCGGCCAATTGCAAGAAGGGGCTTCACAGGTGTGCCGTGTTGCTTCGCAATGGTCGGGTTTGCAACATGACCCATGGTGCCCACGCATGTCCGGTGAAGAAGACGAAGAGTTGAGGGGGCCCCGCTGAACCCACTGAGGTGATGGGGGCAGTTGGGGAACAGTATGAGTCACCTCAAACCAAGCCTAGGGCGGCCGACCTCTTTTGTGGGCCCAACATGCCAGTCGCGTGCGGGTTCTGCGGTTGGGACTGTTTGGGGGTCGATTGGTGTCTGGATAGCACTCATGACCTGTCTAGTCCCGCGTGCCAGGGATGGCTCGCTGAGGGACTGACTCGGACAGATTTCATATGTGCTGCCTTTGACTGTTCTACCAAGAGCCGGGCCCGCGAAATCCCGAGAGTTTTTGCGGATGGGTCGGAGGCTCCACCGCCCCTCAGGTCAGAAGAGCATCCTCTAGGGCTACCGGGCCTCTCGAGCAGGGATGCTCGCAGAGTTAAGGTAGACAACGAAGCCTGTGCCTTTGTCCTGCAACAGATCCAACTTCACAGAGCCCGAGGCGGGGCATCAGTGAGAGAGAACCCACAAAACAGTTTGCACTGGTTTTTACCAACAGAACTGGACATGTGGAGCAAGGGCCATTGGCAGGACTTTGATTATGACGCCTGTGTTTTTCAAGGTGCTAGATGCAGAGGCTAAGGCACAACATAGAGGAAATCGACATGAAGGTGGCAGTCCAGTGCCGTCACATCCACTCCAAGGAGGAGTGGAAACCCTTCTTGGTGGATGGGAAGAGGCACTACCCAAGTCACGACGAGGCGGAGTACACAGCTGCTCTAGCTTACCACATTGCGGTGTCTGCTTCGTGGTGGGCAGCCAGAACAGGCAGAGCGCAGTTGCGTGTCCCCCGCTCTCCGCCAATCAGCTGTACGGGTGATCGCAGAGCATGGCTTGACTGGGATTCCCGTGCAACCAGACAGTGGTCCATGGTATCTACGGCAGTGCTGTTGGGCTTGGACCTCAGCAGCAGTTTTTCCCTTAGCCATATACCACGGCGCCGGTCAGTGTCTGAATTTGACTTGGAGGAGCTTAAGCAGTCGGGTCTTCCGGAGGGGCACATCTATGTTGGTCCTGGACATCATTCGCACAGGCTGCCCAGCACACGCTGGAAAGCTAGATTCGTGCCAGGACAGCATGGATCACGCGAAGAGTGTTTTCTCTTGTACGTGCAGTGGCTCAAGACCTCAGAACTTCCCGGCAAACTGGAGGAACTCTACCACCAGACCCTAGTCTGCGACTGCGCGCCGCACCAGCTCTGCCATGCTGATGCTCTCATTGCAGAGGCTGCTACAACCACCATCCCACAGGTGCGCAAGGCACGAGGTGGTCTTCCCCGCGCAACAGGGCGCCGCTGGGTCTGTTTGGCAGGGATGCCAACAGCACAGTCCATGCCTTGGACGCCGGGAATGCACTTTGTCCAGGAGGAGGTGATTGCCGCGTTCCGGAAGCTGTATCCACCGCAGTTTACTGCGGGGCTGAAGGAATGGCCGCTGGGCATCTCTCAATTGCATGGTCTCTTTCACGATAACCCCCAAATGCTTTTGGGACTGCCTGAAGGACTGAACCCAATGAGCACGCTCCTGGATATCCTGCTGCTCCAACCACGCCAAAGCCGATGCACCTCCTTTGGACTGAACAGCCCGAACTGCCCGAAAATAGTAAGCCATGAGGGTATCCAGGGGAATTTGCACTACTTTGGTACTGTCCGCACCGAGATCCCTCTCAGTGCTGGGGTCCGCCCCACCTGGAATGGCCCGCACTCCTGCAATGGCCAGTGCCAGCAAATACGTGTGCAACCGCGACAGGTATCCTGACAGGTCCTTAGTGCCTGGTGCAACTTCCTCAGGTGCATCCATGTACAACATGTCTCCGACTTTCTGTCGCTTGCGGGACGATGTAACCTGGAACATCAACGTTTTCACCAACCACAAATTGGTGACCATCAACATCCTCTTGTGGCACTCCCGTGCCACTCGAGATATCAATGAATCGGAAGGGTGAATTTCCGGCGGAAAACTGAGTTTGTACCTCCTCCAAAAACTCGTCTT